ATCAGCCTGCAAAGACAAATAATCAGCTGGACTGAGTCAGAGAAGAGACCTGCTGATGTTTCCAACATGAAGCTTGTGTTGGACAGAACAGTTCATTCTCACTGAGGCTGGGTTCAGTAACAGCTGCTTAAAGTTTGGCTCAGCTGAGTACTTTCTGCTCCTATTGGTCAGTCTCATGGACAATAGGGGAAACAATATTTGCAGTAAATGTACTCGTCAGCCCGCAGGATGATGAAGTCCTTCCTGTAGTGTCAGAGTGAAATCAGTGGTCTGTGTGGAGTGTTGCTGAATGCTGTCTGTCTCTGCTCAGCAGCAGGAGACTCAAAGTTCATCTGCAAAACGCTCTGAGACATTTCAGACAGTCTGCAGTTCAGCAGGAGGACGCTCTGAATCCTGACTCTGTCCATGTTTTCTGTAGATCAGAAAAGCAACAACAACAACAACAACAACAAGCACAACACAAAGTGACGCGCTCGCTATCAGCCCAGCACGTCCTCTTCTGACTCCGTCCCCTCTCAGTCCTCCTGGTTGATCTTCTTGCAGAAACAGGTGTGAGGTGCAGATAGATTCCCACGAGCGTGTTTCTTCTATGAAGATGCGACACTCGTACGTTCCAGCATCCGCAGTCGTCACATTCTCCAGATTCAGAGACACGTCTCCATCCTTCATGTGTCTGTCCTGCAGAGCCACCCGCTTCTTAAAAGATGGATGCTGCTTGGTGGTATCAAAGTGCTCGTCCCGGTACAAGAGCACATATTCTTCTCCCAGATCAGCTCTGCTCCAGTTCACAACTATGAACTTGTTGTTTGGAGCTCGACATGTCAGAGTGACGTTGTTTCCAGACTCAGCTGGGACTTTTTTGTCACGTGTGTGTGAAGAAACGCTGAGCTCGCCTTCAGCAATGCAAGCCAGGACACATGCACAGAGCACGCCCCCGAACAGTGACGTAATTCTGAGTGTAGCCATTCGAGCGGAGAGCAAAGAGGTGTCTCATACATGCTGCTCACACATGCAACATTAATAAACTGAAATTTCTCGGGACCGCTCAGCTTCGGGAATTGCGGCTTGTCTGTTTTGCCGCACATGAAGCTGAAAACACTTCAGCAGCCTCTCTCAGCTTCGGTGTGGACACATCGGCTCTTATGTGCCCAAGTTTTTCTTCAGCCTCTGACAGTAAGTTGAAACCTCTTTACCCACTGAGAGGCTGTGTTTAAGGGCTTCAGCAGACTTGTTCTGGTATTGTTCTCTAGTCCTGCTGATCCCTTAAACACAATTCTGTTCAGATGGGTTCCACTTTGACTTTTGCTCATTTCACTGCAGTTTATATGATTTTTGGTTTTCAGTCTTAGCTGAGAGGCCCTAATTAAAAATCTTATCCACACCAGAGACGGAGACACGACTTTGGCAGCTTTCTTCCCGTTTTGCCACACCGATTTTAGTTTTTCAACCTAGTTCTTACACTTTTCTCAACTTTTGATATGAATTTGAACATTTTGGACTGCGCTACAGCTTTGGTGTGGATGCATCGACTTTCCTGTGTCTAGTCAGACTTGTTCTACTTCTACGTTGAATTTTGCTCGTTTCACTGTAGTTAATATCAATTTTGGTATTCAGTGTCAGTTTTAGAGTCGCAAAATAATGTCGGCGGATTTGTGGACTCACACTAGAGACATTCACAGGACTTTTAAACCTTTCCTCCTTTTTTTAACAATGATTTTAGATGTTTTTCACAATTTTTCAACCTAGTTTTTTCACTTTTTCAACTTTTGTGGACACAGTTTTTATACTTTTCTCAACCTTTGATTTCATTTAGGACATTTTCTAATATTTTATCTGTTTTAGGTCAATCACTTTAGACTTTTTTGTTTTTAGTGTTGTTGTGTTTTGTTTTGTTTTTGGTTTTTTTACACAGTTTTTACACTTTTTCTAACCTCATTTCTCTTTTTGGAGCAGCATTTTACAGCTTTTTGCTATTTTTTAACAGTTTTTCCTGTTTTTACCTTTTTGAACAGTTTTACACTTCTTCACCGTTTGTGAACAGGAACTTTAGACTCTTTCAAACTTTTTTTTTGTCTTATTGGACAAGTGTTTTACAAAATGTTTCCGTTTTTTTAACAAAGTTTTTCCTCTTTTCTCCCCTTCAAACAGTTTTTAAACTTCTTCGCTGATTGTGGACACAGATTTTCCTGAACCTCTCTGTTTTTGCGCTCTGGGTTTTACAGTTTCTTGTGTGTGTAAAAAGCAAATAAAAAATGTGTTTGTGAACAGGTTATTGCAGTCTGAAATGTAAAGTGAAAATTTATTTGATTACATTGTGTGAATGTTCAGGCATTAATA